TGCTGAAATCTTCTTTCCAATTTTGAATATTCTTCCCAGGTGAGAGTTGTATCCTTAACTTGAATTTCTTCTTCAAAGATTTTAACATTTCTAATTTTAGGAATTGAGTTTATAGTCAGATAAGAAACTTTTTCAAAATCTACATCATTGAATCATCTGGATGAAGTATGAATCTGAGTTCAAGACTTATCAGATATCCACCATAAAAAATTATGATCTTCTAGATTTTGATCTTCAACTTTGAACTCATCATCAGAAGTTTCACTGGAGGATATTTTTGTATCATTACTATCTTCAGGTATAGCATTTTGTTGTCCATGGATAAATTTGATTAATACTCTTCCTTCCAATCAAAGATCATTATATTTTTCTTCAGATCAATTTTAGTATTGATCTTGTTTAGCCAGTTTATACCTACTACAAGACTGTAGGTTTAAGCTTCAGTAACATTCACTTTAGCTGGAATTACGATTCTATTAATGGTAATAGGGAAGTTATCAATAGCTCCTAATAGTTGTTTGGAATATCTATTAATATCAGATATGGAGATATTTGATTTTTGTTGAATCTTCATTCCTAATCATTTGAGAAATTCATAGCTAATAATACATTCTGATGCTCCAGTATTCACAATTAAGTTTACAGGAATCTTTCTAACTTTGGCTTCACATCAGGCTGAGGTTGTTTTGATCTTCTGGGTGAACATTATTTTTCATTTGAGTTTCTTTTGTAATTTCTTTCTCATTCCTTTTGATATTTGAATTCTTTGTTCAGATGAAGTCTTGATGAGTTGAGCAATAGTAATATTAGCTTTTTGTGATGCCAAATCTTCAAGTATGTCATAGGTTTCTGCATGTTTGGCTAGAATTGGAAGGTGAGCTCTTCCTTTTCTTTGTTTCTTCTTCTCCAAGTTAGTCTTGTTTTCTTCAGATACTTTAGGTAAAGACTGAGTAACTTTATTTTCTTTTTTACTTTCTTCTTCTTCTTTGACAGTTCTTTGATATTTTCTTTCTCCAGCAAGATAATCATGAGTTGTTAGTAATGAGGAACTAGATTAGGTTGATGAATCACTAGATGGACCATTACCAGATGCTTGCAAAACAGCTATTAAATTCTGAATTTGAATGAGAAGAGAAGTAGTATCCAGATTTTGTGGATTATTAGGTAGCTGGTTATGGTTTTGGGTGTTCTGATTTTGCTGATTATTATTGTTACTATTGTTATTCTGATTTTGATTATTCCAATTTTAAGGAGTATTTTGATTATTAGACTGTTGATTTGTAGGCTGAATGTTGTTTGAACAATATCTACTGATATACTCTTTTCCTCCACAAGTATAACAGATAATAGTAGATTGATTTCTTGACTGATTTCATTATTGACTATTATTATTGTTCTGATTATTATATCTTTTACCAGATTCTATACAATCTAACCTACTGGTCAGATCTTGCAAAATCTTAGCGAGGGCACTCTATTCATTAGTTAGTTGAGCTTGGGTTTAGTGATAAGTTTGTTCAAGTGGGTCTGAATCAGTTTTTTCAATATTTTTGACAGTTTTAACAATGCTTTTCATGGTATCATCAGCATTTAGATTAATGCATTTTCAAATTTCAGGTTTGAGATCTTTCTTGAAAATTTGAATCTTGTATTCTTCTGGATAATTATTCTTTGAATCCATTTTACTTCCTAGTTCCATAAATTGATTAGTATATTCTTCTACAGTTCCAGTTTACTTCAAAGATTTTAATTCATCTTGTCACTGTTATACCTTACGAGGTGAATGGAATTTAAGAATAAATTGGTAAGTAAAATCATGATTATCATGCTCTTCATTTATCTATTTACTTAATCTGAGAGTGTCACTTATAGATCATTAGTCAAACCAGGTAGCAGCTGGTTCCTCTAGGTATCCTCTTACTATCTTGATTTTTCTATTATTAGTAATTCTATTGGCTTTTGTGGCTACTTCAAAGTCATGTAATCACTCAACTAGATCCTGATCATTATTCTTAAATTTACAAATTGGGATAAGGATTTTCTCTATTCTTTGAATATTAATAGATCGAGTTAATTCTCCAAGAGTCTGAATAAGACTGTCTATTCTATCTGACATGATATTTTCTTTCTTTGGTTAGAACTTTAGAAGTTAAATTTTTTCAGTTGGAACTGTTAATTCTTCTGGATCTTCTAAATCACTACTTTTGTACTCTGATTCTATAGGCTAATTAGTTGAGAGAGTTTCAAAATTATCTGTCTCTTCAAGAACAGAAAGAATACTATTCACTAGGTAAGTCTGTTGTTCAACTGTAATTTTGATTCCAAATATAAAGATATTTAATAGTTTGATAATTTCTCTTCGAAGTTAATTAGATATAAGATTTTGTTGTACTATATTATCAAAGAGTTTCTGTGAAAGTTTGTTGTGTGAGATCACATGATAATCCTGAGTCCAGGTAAGAAAATTTACAAATCATCTGTCTGAATTTTTGTTGGTAGGAAAACAGTAAGAATAGTAGTTGTATAGTTCAATGTAAGATAAGAATTTTCAAGGGTTTTCTCTATTATGTTTACTGAGGTATAGGTCAATTGGGAGTCCAATAAAAGAGTAATATGTACTCATAAACTATTCAATTAATTAGGTAACTAATACTTCAAGAGTAGCTAATCCTTAAAATAATAAAATGAATAAAAATGAAAATAATATAAATGAGTTGACTGGGATCTCTGGGTAGGTGAGATCCACAGAGAGGGTACCAAATATTACAAACTATACTCTAGAAGGTAGGTTTTACCATGAATATAGTTTATAATAAGTTTTAAGGGTGAAGACTAAATTATTTATAAAGGTAAAGGGGATTACTATTATTCTAAAGATTTCCTAGTGCCAATACTTACAAGTATTATATCAATACAAGATAAAAATGAAATAAAACAAAATTATAAAATGAAGTTGTGATCACGAATACTAAACTAAAGGGTGGTATCAAAAACTAAGCAATAAATGCTTAAACAATTGCAACAAATGCAAATAAAACTAAGATAACCAATATCAAACAAAATAAAGACAACAAATATCAAACAAAATAAAGGCAACAAATACCAAACAAAACTTTTGCATATAGAGAAGCTTACTGAACCTTTTCAATCAAAATATAATCTATTATGATAAAAAAGGTAAATGAAAGCAAATTATCAAGGCAAGAATCAAAGGAAAATTACAAGATAAGTATAACTCAAGTATTTTCAAAAGACAATTGAATTATTGCTATTCAAGTATATTTATTTCAGGTCTCAGAGCAGAGATATTTATACATCTTTGAGGTTTTACAAGTTTCTATCTAAACTTATTTGCTACTCTAGATTACAATTACAATCTTTGGGACAAAGAATCAATAAATGAATAAATAAAATAAAGAGATAAGATACATGTGGTAAGTTAAATGATAATACAAATGACAAAATAAAATGAAAAGATAAGATATATGTTCTAAAAAGAAAAAGATAAATGATAAAAATAATGAAATTCATTGCTGAACCATTTCTGAAGCATTTCTGAACCATTGTTGAACCATTTGGTGAACTGTTGTTGATTTTGGGGCTAATTGTTCATTGACAATCTTAGAGCATTGCAAAAACATTGCAAGAATATTGCAAAAATGTTGTTGAATCGTGACTGAATCCATAACTGATACACCAATTATATTATTTGAAAGCACATGTCTTCTAAAGATTGATTGATTGGTCAAATTTTCCAAGTTTGAAAAATTATGAAATTAAAGAAATTTATGTTACTACGGTAACAGTATGCTTGTCATTCTTTTAATCTGATCACCAAGTAACAATTTAACTGGTAATGTTGGAATATTTTGTGTAGACGCCAGGTAACTGATTTTCAATAATAGTCGTATAATGAGAACTACAAACTTGATAATCAGGTTGCAAATATGGATACAACAGAAGATTTCCTTTAATGGATGCCTTTCTTATGGCCAAGTTAGTTAGACATCGAAAATCTTTAGAGCTTTTATCGCAATTATAGATAGAACAGAGCCATGGTTAATTTTGCTTTCGATATTATATCGCGAAAGTTTGCGAGATTACTATATTTGGCGCGTTTATTATATAAATTTAAATACATATATTAATTTTGTTATACAAATGCATACGCTTTATTAATTCTACTGGGCGAAATACAAGTTCGAAACAATTTTGTAATAAATACATATAAAAAAAAGATAAATAATTTGTAAAATTTTTTATAAGCGCATAAAGAAAGATATATCAAACGCGCGGGAAGCCAATTTTTAAAAATCGTAAGGTACTTTCGTTCTCATGATTAAAAGATATATTGGCGATATGAGACAATCGGAATTTAATTTTAATTTTTGACCAATTAAAGGATGAACAGATTTTAGCCAATTAAGATAGGATGTTATTGAAATTGATTATTGTATTAACGATGTAATTAAAGCGCGCGGAGGTTATTCGAGGTGGTTAATTTAATGTTTTGTAAAAGTTTTATCATAAAAAAAGGCAAAAAAACGCACCGGATTAACGATTATTGCACATAATTGTGGGCATGGTCGTTTTTTATTGATGCATGTAAGTTAAACGATATTTCATGATTAAAGATCGACAATTTACATGTAAATGGTGGCCAGATTCAGATCAGGAATTATGTGCACCGTTCATTTTTCACCGTGGCGGCAACGAGATCGCAATAGAGATATTTATGTGATTATAAACATACTATCTTATTAGTGGGGTGGATTATATAGTCTTTGGTTTATTATAAAAGTTGTTGTATCGAAGATTTTGATAATTTTCAGTAACAAGATTACCTTTTGTTTTTCAAAAAGCAAAAAGATACATCGTTTTATAAAGCATACAAGTTAGAGAAGTAAGCTATACTATCTTTAGTGTTATAAAAATAATATTTATAGCAAATAGTCTAAATTGAATTGATTTTTTTTTGATAAATCAAAGGAAAAAGCCAATCAAAACACCGCATCCGAATATTCACCATACATATCAAACCAAAGATTTTTTTTCACAATCAACAAATGCTTTTTGGCCTCCTCCAACAATCGAGAATCGAAAATTTCCTCCAAGGCACAATAATATTGCACACCAAACCCGATCCGTCTGAACCGTCTGTCTCGTTTCGCATGCTCGATGAGTACTTTCAGATGCTCATTTGTCAGATCCAAAGTCTCGACCATTCCAAATTGCTCAAGCGGCGCTCGACATTTCTGGAAGAAGAAACGTAAAGCTTCAGCCGAAACATGGAAATTGATACTCAGCATCTTCAAGGGAGGTTGAATCGAGTCAGCTAATGCGAGTAGTACTGGTTCGGTATCACATGTGGAAGTACGTTGGAATCGTACACTTAATTTCTCGAGTTTCGTACATCGTGACAGCAATATTGGGATGTAATCTATGGTGCCTAGCTCAATCCGGATTCCAAAAGAAACTAGATTCGGGCAATATTCTGCAATGGTTTCGAATACTGCGGGCGGGCTATCTTGCATGACGATAACGAGATCCGTCAGATTCAAATTGGCGAATCGAATGATTGGTGTGCAGTCGAAGTTCCATTGTGAATCGTAATTTTCTTCGTTCATGAAATAGAGCTTCCTTAATTTCATTGTGGAGTCTATTAATGGTGTCCAGATTTCAGTTCTTAATTTGCATTCGATAAACACCAATGTATCCAAATGATGCAAATATTTAATTGCTTCGATTGATTCCAAGCTTAAATAACTCCACTTGAATTCTAATCGTCGCAGCGAATGAGCCTGGGCATGTAATGCAAGAACAAATGGCCTTGAATTAGCAGACCAAGCTTCAATAATCACGCGCTTTATTCCATCTTGCACCGTGATGAGATTAAGCAACTCTTGTTCCATACCATAAGAGAAGCCATCAATTTTCACATTTAAAAAGCTAATCTTTTTACAAAGTTGCGACATACTATTGAACATTTGGGAGATGTTATTCTTTTCTTGTTCGCGATAACGCGTGGAATATTGACACATCACGAATGTCTCAATATGTGGTAAAACATGGCGTGCACCTTTAAATCTTGTCACGTCCAGAATATCAATGGTATCATGAGATTTTTCAATATTGAAAATTTTGATTCCTTTAGAGCGTAACATTATCATTCGTAATAGTTCTCGGACAATTACGACACCTTTATAGTTTCGGAAGCTTTTCATGTTCTCAGGATTGATCGTTGAGTACCATAATCTCACTATTAAGCTCAATTTCTTAAAGTCGAGCTCAGTGATATGTTTAGGATAATCGAAAAGAACGCGTTTCTTTGAGAAGGTTGACTTGTCTTTTGATTCTCTGGAATTGATGGTTATTCCAGTTTTATTAACAAGTGTTTGCTTTTGGTATGTATTTAAACAGGATAAGAGAGTTTTTACTAATGCGATATCCTGTGCAGAATATCGGAAAAATCTGAAGGGACGAGACCAGAGAAATGGAATTATGAGTCGACACCAGGTACGATTGACCAACAAGCATGAGAATAATGAGGATCCGTCGTCGACGTATTTGAATATTTCATCGAGGACTTCGACTGGAAGGTAAAGGTTTGTATTCTTATTGATATTATTATTAAATTTTTTGTTATCGTTAGTAGTGTTGTGGTTCATATTATATTTTTTGTAATTCCTGTAGTTACTGTCATGATTGTAATTATTATTGTAGTAAAACTTCTTTGTTAGATAAGACATTATGACAAGAATAAAGAATATTTCTTATGCAGGGATAAAAATTTTTGCAAGACGATAAAGAATCACTTTATAATGCAAGAAGAAAATGTTTATGTAACAAACAAGTGTTTGATATAGTAAGGATACTCAATATGTACAATTGTACGACTTTTATTTATCAACAAAATACATTTGTACATGTACATGTATGATACATTTTTGTCATCTGATGATGCTAAATGGTAAACGTAAATGGTACTATTACCATGCAGGGAAATTTTTTAGCTAACGCTAACGTTAGTGGGTTAACGTCAATGTACATGTACATGTATATCATGTTCTAACTTACTATCTATCGCTATGTGTTAAGACGATTTCTGATTTACGAAGCAATTCATTCACCCATTATTTAAATATATACTCACGATTTGCCGAATTATCACATTTTACATGAATTCTTTACTGAATAACATTATGATAATTTAATTTACAAACAAATCAAATCGAGTGGTCGTCATTTAATAAGAATTTATGCTAGATGAGCTGAATTTTACCGTATCCACTAGCACATTTACATTAAATTTTAGTTGACGCGCTAATTTGGAACAATTCATTCTTTGACAATGAAATTTTTTGCATGTGAATTTGTGTTAATAGCAAGATCGATAACATAATATACATATACCTGCCAGATGATGCACTGAGTACATGTACATTGCTTATAATAGATTTTCGTAGAGCGAAATTAAGAGGTTTTATATCACTTAAATAGCATCTTTCATGAATTTAAATACAAGCATTGAATTTCGCTTCAGGATAGCCCATTGTTAAACGTAACAAGTTGTATCGTGTTTCGGTATGCATTAAGAAGGCGAAAACTTTTTACTTTACATATGCATATATATCCCTGTTCATTTGCAAGCATGCAAATATAATTATACATGTAATGACATGATGCAAATAAGGTTCATGTATAATACGTAAATGCTCCTTTCAAAGCTTTTGTGATTATTAATACAAGTATTTTATTTCCATCCCTTATTAATAGAACACATCGAAATCAAAACTCTCATATCACACCTAGAGTAGTTGTCGCTTAAAATTGATGACATGATGTTAATTAATCTTGTAGTTTAATGTCCATGTACAGTACATGAATTATGGTTTTATCGTTATCATTTACAGTCCAAAGTACTTTGCAACAGCGACGATATAACATGTATATACCGTCGCCGTGTGTTGAACATGTAATTATGTATTACGTAACGTGAAGAACACATGAACGTACATGGATCGTGTGACTTTTATTATGTTTTGATCAACAAATTTTCCCATTTAAAAGAACATGTTTTTGTTTGTAAAATGTACTGTACATGTACAGTGCCCGGACGGAAAATTTCGCCGATCAAACGTTAAAAGTAGCCCATATGTAAACTAAACTTTTTACTAACACAACCGGCCATAGTGCAATAAGTAAACTTATTCACGATATCTAGCTGCATATGTTTTATAACTTTGAGTAACTTTGTATAAATATTGAGTGAAAAAAAAAGGCTTACGTCAAAGATAAAGATTTTCGGAAAATTACGTTAAAACTTTCGTTTTGATGTAACTCAAAAAAGCTAATTGCAATGCGTTAAGTAAAAACAATGTTTATATTTCAAAATCTATAAATTTAAAATTTGGTTTGAATGATAATCGGAAATATAAAATTTGCTAAGTTTGAGTTTTTGCAATATATTGTTATATACACGCCAGAATCCAGTCACATTTCACAATTCGACGCGTCTCTTTGTTGTTAATAACTTTTATTAATACGTATTTGTTTACTAACAAACGAGTTAAAAAGTTTTTATATAAGCAACTTGATGAGACGCATAATTTCGCTTGGTTAACCAACACGAAATTTTGTACTACCTTGAATTTATGTTTAATAAAATTGGATACTGTCTTATGATATAGCTGCTCATTCAATGAAATCAAACCAAATTGTCTCAAATTTTAAAGTTATATATTTTGAAATATAAACATTGTTTTTACTTAACGCATTGCAATTAGCTTTTTTTGAGTTACATTATAATGAAAATTTTAATGTGATTTTCCGAAAAAACTTTGACGTAAGCCTTTGTTTTTCACTCAATATTTCTACAAAGTTGCTCAAAGTTATAGAAGGTTAATTGATATTGTCAAAGATGATCGACAATAAATAGTTGACAAAAAATTCAATACTGCTATGACTGTAACTGTTAGTTCCAGTACTATACGACATACTCTTCATAAATATAAGTTTTATGGTCGGGCTGGGGTTAGAAAACCTTTTGTATCTGAGGAAAATCATCAAAACCATTAAAATAGTGCTCAGAAAGAAAAGATTGGATTAGTGAATGGGAATTAGTAATTTGGAGTGATGAATCAAGATACCTAATATTCCAAAATGATTCCCGGCAATGGGTTTGGTGCCGACCACATGAAAAATACAATGTTGTTTGTCTTCTTTCCAGTATGAAATCAGGCAATTAGGGAATAATGGTGTGGAGATGTTTTACTCAAAATTCACTTGACCATTAATCGAAGTTAAAGGTGGAATAACCAGTCAAAAGTATATAGAAATAATGGAACAGAATCTTCTGCTATTTCTAAATGATTTGCCAGGTAGTTCTATTCATCTTTTTCAAGAAGATAATGCGCCAGCCACAGATATGGTGCAGCCAGTCAATGGAAAAAGGAAAATTTAATCACTTCACTTCCATGGCCTGCCCAGAGCCCTGATCTAAATCCAATTGAGCATTTGTGGGATGTT